TTAGAATGTTTAGATACTTAAATAGCACATTTTTACAAGAACAATGTCCGAGAATATTGCCTATAACGTTAATGTTAGCCACAAAGTTTAAGTAAAACTCACCTTCTTATCAGTGAATGTGTAACGAGGGGAACATCTAAAACCTTTCTCCAGCTGACTTGTTGGGGTTTCAGATCGATGTACAAACCTTGGCCAAGCACTGCAGCACCTAGTGTAAAAGGCCATTTTCAATAGATCGGAAACAATCGAGCCGCTTTTCCCCAAACGCGGAAGCTGAGGTGCAAAGAGTCCATAGAACGACTCTCAGTGACACTCCAGTCCTATCTAATAAGTAAAGAGACGAGCAGATTAATTGTACTGTTCCTGAATGTCACATCACTATATTGCAGACTTTTGGACACAGCGTTGTCCCATATATGCGACAAGTCAGTCTACACCTCCGCACAATAATTCAGCGCAGTGAGTGACAACTTTTTCCATCACAAATGCTTATGTGTCTCTGTACAGCTAGCTTTGCTAACATCACGTCAACGGAGCTTACCTGTCTTTGAGCTACTTTTCTAAGTGACGAAAAAAGTTAGACGTTGTCCCCACCGTCTGTGAAAGCGAAGCGCTGCTGAGTTAGCTGTGGCCATCGGATTTCTTATGATTTATGCAGCGCTATTATATTACTGACGATTAAACAAGCATTTTCTGCCGCTGAGAGGAAACCACTGCGCATGTCTCAGAGCGCCGCGGGCGAAAGGTGGGGAGGAGGAGGGGGAACAGAAACACGTAATTGCTTGGATTTTAATCGGTGCGTTTTGCATCCACTGAAAGCAAAGATGTTAACAAATAAACTGGATAGTGTACTGTATGTTTAGTGATATTTTCACAGTTGCGGTCTCGACTGGTCTTGAAATAAAATGCCAAGTCCTCAGCGCCCGAGACCGAGACAAGACCGAGACCATCAAAAAACGGTCTCAAGACCAAGACCGAACTCGAGTACTACAACACTGGTTGGCGGTTATTCCTGGATTGTTATCCATTTTGTTCACCTGGACGTCAGGAACGCCTTCCTGCCGTGAACGAAGTGACGCCGTTAAAGTCGCTTCTAATCAGTCGACGATTATTTTATCGTCGCCTCTCCACCCGCTTTCACCCGCATCAATCGGAGAGGAGGGAAATAAGGAGGCCGCAGATAACAAGTACCAGGTCAACTGTAGTAATGGATACACCGCCATCTGCACCTCGGGGATAATTTGATTTGCCCTGACATGGTGAATTACACCGTGACAGCCTGTCCCTTTTATTTGCGAATTAAATTCAGAGTCGTTTACCACTCTGAGCTTTTGACAGAAAGGCAGAGAGAGAACGAGAGAGAGGCTGGCTCACCTGACCGGAGGCTCCTCTCTGGACACGACCGGTACCTACAGAACGGATCTCGACATGGAAGAAAAATCTGCATGTGGGCTAGGAACTGATGCCGACTGCAACTGTGGTGTTGAAGATAATCCAGGTGGAACCGTGAGAATCCACATGTTGATGACAACACGTTCAAAAATGTGGAATTGAAGAATTTTTTTTACCTCTTCATTTTTCAAGACAAATAACTGTTTTATTCTCTCATTTCTGACTTTTCTTTTATTGTAATGTAACCTTGTAGGTTCCAATTTTCTTGTTTTCATTAGCTGAGAGAGAAAAATCATCATAATTTAAATAAAATACTTAAGTACTTGTGCGTTTTTTTGTTTTTAGTTTTCTTAGATTAGTGTTCCTTTCCTGTCTTATTTTGCTCTCCTTAGTTTCTCTTATGTCAGTAGTCTGCTTCCTGGCCGTTTCCAGGCTATTCATGCTCACCACTCACCAGCGATGCCTTATTGTCCTCATGTGTTTCACCTGATCTGTCACTCAAACTCCTGACTTTCTACCGTTCAATACCGGATTCACATATTTTTTCACATCGTCTTCGTTCCTTTCTGCATCCCGTTTTTCTGTTCCAGTTTTCAGCCGCTCTGGTTTGTTTTTTGTTTTTTTTGCAGCTTGTCCAGTTGCAAAGCTGTATGTATGGGGAAACGTTACCTCTTAAGACATCACAGAAAGTCGCATTACTCACCAAAAGTCTCGGTATACTGAGGGGAGTCCAGATGTCTCCAAGCAAGCCCAACTCCACACATCCTTCATCAACTCAGTCAAAATTTTCTTAACAGTTGTTATGTTCATGAAAATTGCAACGCATCGAGAGAAGCAACTTTTGCTGAAATGCAGCCACAGTCAGATTCAACATTAGGGAACTGTTGGAGATTTTGATTTCCAAACTGCATCTTACAAATCTAACAAACTATTAAAGACTTTTTACATTTTCTAGCCTTTAAAGAAAGTATATTCTATCCTGTTGATTTATTCAGTTTAGTTAACTGAGGTTCCAGTGGTTATTGCGTACTGGAAGCTAATCATGTCGAGGTAACAAAGAGTAAAGCTGTGTATGGGTCGTAATGCCTGACAGATTATGGCAAAGTTTCATTAATCCATCAACAAAACGAGTGTTTAAGTCTCTTGGTAAGCGGCATCCTAACCTACTTTGACCAAAGCGTTTATAAATCACCTTCCCTTTATTTCTAGACATGTCACTCGAATCAACGCACTTCCTGCTGTAACCAATTTATAGTGTCATTTACTTCTGATTTATTATTGTTATTGTTATTGTTAAAGTGAATTCAGTTATAAATGTCCTTCTACAATGTTTGACTTGGTTATCTTTTTCTCTCTAGCACAAAAACAACTTTGACTTGACTTGTTTTTATTCTGCATAAAAGATAAAGACAAAAGGTGGCAGATGAAGACATTACACCCTCCTGCTCTCTTTTAGCGGTAACAGCAACGGGTCGACATATTTGTGTCCCCGCAGCTGAAGAGTTTCAACCTGCTGACCAGGGTATTCTGACCCAGACTTTCTTCCTAAAAGCCCCCTTTTCCCTTTTTCTCCTCATCCGCCAAATTTCGATGTCCCAGTTTATGTTTCTTGTACCCAGAGCCGCCCCTCCTCCGAGCTTTCCAGTAGACTAATATTTGTCTTTCCGCCTCCTCTTACTCTGCGAACATCTGGTCTTGGGTTTTTTTTTTTTTTGAAGCAACACAAACTTCCTTGGCTAGCCTTGGCGTCTTTTGATGACTGCATACATGACCGTCAGTAGTTTACCGTGACCGTAAACAGTCTCCTCTCTGACCACCAACACAACGCGAGCCGCAGCCGACCGTGAATGTCGGTATGTAAAAATATTTGTCAGACGGAGATATGATGCACTGCAACTCCTTCTGCTGTCCAGTCGCGTCTCCTGGACATACCTTGGATGGCGATTCTCGTCACTTGCAATGTGGAGAGAAGACTTTTAACGGGCAGGTTTATGTGTAAATCAGCTTGGCTAACTTTCAAAGGTTATAGTTACTGTTCCTGACTAAAACCCCTGGAGTTTGCGGGATGGTCTGCAGGGGGTTGATGTGTCTCTGACTCTTGGGGATAATTGGATGGATTTGAGCGTGAGGAGGAAATGAAAAACATGCCAGCGGCTTCACTTTGCAGCCTGTTTTTGTTCCTGCTTTGCTTCTGCATTCAAAGGTAGCTCTCTGGGAAATGGAAAGGAGGAACATGAAGGAGCCTTGGATGGCTAAAAGTCTCCTAAAAGTGTGTGAGTACTTGTGAGCCGATGCACACCTGTGTGTAAGGTGTGTCCCCCCCACATGCTACAAAGTCAAAAACCATGAAGAAAAAAAATGCCCCTATTTCCTCAAAGCGATGGAAGTCATTACGGTGCTGGCTGCCCGCTCTGATTGAAGTCTCTTAGTCACAATGGGCCTGACTGACTTACTCCGATGCTGGGTCAGAGAGAGCCGGCGAAGTAATCAGGTGGGATTGAGGAGGAAAAGAAGTGTTCAATCAAGCCCCCCTGTCCGGCCATGCTCTGCAGGTCGGCAGACAGTGGATTTCATGAGCTGCAATCTTTTCTAAATGCTGGCGTCAATCAAAGAGCGTTGACCCGGCAGAGATGCGTTCAAGCACACAGACGTCACGCAGACCTCGAGTGGGATATCTGAAATTGACGCAATGAAGCCGTTTCACCGCTGTACATTTCAATAGCATGTGAAATTGATGCATCTGATGAACTTTATTTGAGCCACACCCATAGGCGGTTGGGATGTGCTGAAAAATGTTGTGGTTTGATCGTTACAACACCGACGGGCCACTGCGACAGAATGCATGCCGCTTACATTTGAGCTAAAAACCTGATTTCATGCTAAGCAATTCAGACACTCTGTCTGCGCTTACGAAGATTCACTCAACCAGGCGTGCTGAATGTGTGAAGCTTCTCCAACAGTGGGGCGGCCCAATGGTCTTTCCTGGTCTTTCCTGTTAATTTAGCTGGAATCTGTTTGAATGTGTGTGGAGTTTTGAATTTTCAGCGATATTGAAGACATTACACATCCACTTTACACAATAGAACAGAAATATTATTGTCACATTTCTGTGTAACAGCAGCAATGTGACAGGCAATAACAACAAACAGATTCTCACAAAGACAGAATATAAAACATACATAAAATATATAAAACGTATTAACAATGTTTCTGTGTTAGACGTGATCCAAAACATGTACATCACAAAGCTTGACGTTGAACAAAAATCACTTTATAACTTTATTTGTAGATCCACTTGAAACATTTTTAGAGAAGCTAACAAATGTGCCAACAAAATAAAGTGTTGGAAAAGCTCAAAAATAACTTTAGGTCATAAATGAATGCATCTGGTTCCTAAACGTTTGTCCTTTACTTCCTTTTCTTATAACATTTTACAGTCTAGACCTACAAATAAAATAAAATAAAAAAATGTCTGTAAAAGTCGCTCTTAAAAGAGCGACTTTTGCGATGTTGAAATTAAAATTAAGCTGAATTAATTTCTGTCATTTAAAAAAAAACAATGAAATCAAAGCATACATAATGTTCTATCAATAAAGTACAAGCGCAACGTGGAGTAAATTATTTAAATTACGTTTACAAGTCTTCTTCCATGTCAGTCGGGAATTTCATTTTCCCGTCTACAGCCTCAAATCCAAAGTTCCAAGTCAAGTTGTGAGATATTATTTTACACATCACACCGAGACAAATCATCTTAAACCATCCATCACAGGCACTGACTGAAAACTCACTGCTGATCTCCTTTACTTCCTGAATTTATTTCTTCTGCTCAGTTCAGTTCAATTTGGAAAACAATTTGTCGTCGGAGGAGTCCATATTTATAGATCCGTGTTCATTAAAAAACTAAATGAAATATTGAACGGGGGGCAAAAGAGACGGATGCTGTGGGAATATTGCTCTCTGTCTCTGTAGGGGGCAGCGTCGCACAGTTTTCCGGCTGCAGCCCAGAGTGTGACTGCACAGATTAATCCCTGTGATGGAAAAATTCATTGGGTACATAAACGTAGCAGCATCCCGTTTTACTATATCTGTCTTGCTTGGACATAAACGTCAAATGCTGACACACACACACAAAAAAAACAAAACAAAAAGAAAACACTTTGACTGATTTGATTTCAGGCTCTCAGACAGTTCAGAGCTTTGATCTAAATGTACCAGGAACGAAAGGACGGCCGATGGAGGCAGTCGAGAGCTCCAGGAAAGGAAAAAACAAGCCAGTGCTTTGAGTGAGAATAAACTTTCCTCCTGCATTCATTTGCATTTATGTTTCCAGTAAATAAATCCTTCTTGTATTGCAGAGACAGAGGCCTGCCTGTGAAGAAGTGGAGAGCAGCACTCCAAGCTGAAAGAGAGAGAGGAAGGAGGACGAGACACAGACTAAAAGCAAGAGATCAGAGGAAAAAATGGCGACGGAGAGAGTCGAATTGGCAGAAGCGCTGTGCGATGGATAGGAGGAACGCTGACGGGAAGAGCTTCGACGATCCACTGCAGCGTGGCGAAAGGGAGCGCGGTCGACTCTCCGTTGAAAGACGGAGACGGATGTTACCCGGCGGTTCGTCACGTCCCCCTGTGGGGTCCGGAGGGGCCCGGCGGTGTCTCCCGCCTGCTGTCAGGCCTCTCGTTCCGTTGCCCTCTGCTCTTTTTCAACATCTGGAGCCTGTTTAGTATCACAAACACTGGAGCTCCAGCCATGACAAGTCTGCTGAGAATGACTGTTTCGGAACCTTTTTAGAGAGTGATAGGATTTAAGTTGAACACCGTTTATTCCCCTCCCCCTCCGTTGCCCCTATTCATTACATTCATTGCAGCAATCATTCCTAATCTAGTAGCTCTAAATCACCAGGCCTCCTTGTGCTAACCTCAAACTGCTAAATCATGTTTGAGTAAAAACTTTGGTATTTTTACTGGAAGAAAATTTGTTGTTTTTAATGGACGAGCCTTCCAGGAAGGCATGCATCACCGTGGGGCGCCTCCGTGATCTCAATTAACAACGGCCGCTGTAGTGCTTGCAGATGCTGCACCGCTCGGATTTTAACTACCTCAACGCTGTTCCTTTGCTTGTCAACACGAGTGAGTCACGTTTTTTTACGCTGAGGATTTGTTTTTTGTTTTTTTACATAAGCTGCAAACCACCACCAATTTGTAGGTAGGCATGTGTTCGCGCTCAGCCCGCCCCCTGCGGCCCGAGGATTAGAGGCGAGCAAGCGGCTCTCTGCGAAAGCGTTTAACGCTCGGATTTCCACGCCGCTCACTCGGAAGGTGAGCACGCCATTCATGTTGAGTGGTCAGCGACGTGACCTCCGCCCCCTCTCGCCCCCCCAGATGCCCGCTCGTGGGAACCGATCCTTCAATTCGCCGCGTTGGTTCAGGGTCGCAAAGGTCTCCTCTCTGGTCAGAGCAGAGATGCTACATAAATAAGGTTTTGGAGGTGGGGGAGTCCCATTTGTAGCTTTTAGAGTCGAAGGTGCTGACAGCATATATGCATATATGTACACAAGTCAAACGTGCTGCTAAGTTAAGCTTCCAGTTGTGATACTTTGTTTTTTATTGAAAAAACTTTGGGCACAAAGCCAACAAAGTATCAGTGGGGCGCATTTTCCGCACGCAGCTGCGCTACAGTGCTCTCGTGTGTTTTGTGTGTGTGTGTGTGTGTGTACAGTCAGGAGGGGGTCGGTGTGGGAGAGGAGGAGGGAGTTCCTGGGCACCAGGCCTGTGACAGTAAAACATTTCAGAGGCCGTCCGTCAACGGCCTAATGGCTTCAGCAGACGGGGTCTGGATTCTGGCTTTTCCCCACCGCTGACACCAGCGGCCATAAAACACTGCTTGTTTGGAATGCAAAACATGGATCCAAAGGATGTGAGCAGGAACGCCGGCGGCTTACAAAATAAAAGTCCTTCGAAGTTTTTCTTTTTTTAAAAGAAAGACGTCAGAGGATGAGGGGTTTCGGTGTGGAGGTAGACGGAGGAAGGAAGGTGTCGGTGTTTACAGGAGGCCGTACCGACAGACCTTTAACACCCAGAGCCAAAAGGACGGGAGAGTTTAATTAGTCTGGAAAACAAAACTACAACAACAAAAATCACTATTTCTTCTTTTAATCTGAAAAAGTAAGACTAAAACAAGTGTCAGGAACTGCATGCATGCATTTGATGCTTTTAAAATGAGTTATTGAAGATTATAAGCAGTTAAAGCCATATGTGCAGCAGATAACGCTGCTGGCATCTTAGTGTAAATCCCGATTAACTGTTCCCTGGATGAGCCTAAAATAACTGGGGTTTCAGAAACATCACAGTGGTGTCAGCAAATGCTGTTTTATAAACATGTAAACCGCATTTTTAACAAAATTTGATTAGATTTTTAATTTATTAAGGAGAAAATGTGGCTACATGTCAGAAGAATATTTAAGAATATTGAGAAAAATGGGAAGCTATGATGATTACCTTGTATTAATCACATAGTGAGTGGTTGCTGGAGGACTCAGCTGCAGATGTGATGGTGGAGGAGATGAAAAGCAACAGCCCTAATCCTAACCCAACAGAAGAAACGAAAATAGTGCAATGAGAAGTAAGTAAAGAGGAGAGAAGACTGAAAAAGAGATTGGGTGAGTTTAGTCAGGGGGAGTGCTGAACAGCAGAAGGCCAGCAAATGAAGGAAGGTGAATAAAAAATATCTAGAAACCAAAAAGGGAAAAAGTCAAAATCAGCAAAAAATCCTAAACCAAAACGCTTAGAGAACAGAAACACGACAATTAATGGAGGAACTGACATGTAAGGAGCGAACCTGTATGGCAAGACCACAATGACAATAATGAACAACTCTTGAGAAATCAGAAAACAAACACAAAAAGAAAAATCAAAACACAAACGCCACATAAGAATGTCACACGAGAATCTGGAACCATCGCCTTAGAGGGAACAAGTGGGTCCATAGAAAGACATACGATGTTTTAGGGAATAAAGAAAGTTCACATGGGGAAGGGAAAAAACAATCAAAAGTAGGACACAAACTGTGATGTCTGAAAATCCCTCAAGGCTTCTAAAACAAACCATGTCCAAACCCCTAGCATGTTTCCTGGTGTTGCCCCACCTCGTTCATTCAGCGTGAAGGTTGGGTTGCAGTGATGACCCCCTGCCTGGAGCTGCCAGACAGCAGACTGCTTATCTAACAAGTGCTGCCAGCAAGTTACCAATCTAATAACAATAATCAAATGAATCAGTAGTTCTTCTAGCTGAGTTTATGACTCACTGCCTAAAGACGGGTTCTGTTAATGAATGGCTTTAATCTCAGTCTGATAGGAGACTTTTTTCTTATGTCTCTGTGCCGCTGAGGTCATTGTCATTTGTTGCTTGTTCACAAGCCACTCTCGTAGGTGTCTTTGCCATGGAAACAAAGATGCGAGGGTGATCAGACGTGTGAGCAGATCCATCTGGAATGAACTCGATGCTTATGGGGCTGTTAGCAGAGAGCTGCACTGAGTTATGTTTGGTGACCCGCTGACGGCGGATCTTTAACTTTCTAATGACAGTTTTGTTGTACTTTGCTGGATGTCTAACACTGAGCCTCTTCAGCCTCTGTTTTATTCCATTGTTACAGAACAATAACCTAAATCACCACCTGTTAGAGCTGCCTTCGAGTGGAACTAAGTTCGACATTGATCGACATATTTGATGTGTATTTTCTTGACGTTTTTGACAAAACTTAATGTTTATTGCTTGCTTCATAATTGCTAACTGTATGTTTTGATGACAGAAAGCACTTTGACTTACCTTGTTTCTGAAATATGCTACAAATAAACCTGATTTGACTTTACTCAACAGGCATAGGAAGCAATTATCCTATAACATTGGATCGAGAGGTGAAAGAGCTAGCTGTAAAGCACAGAGTAAGGAATCATCATTATGTTTGAAATCAATATAGAACATGTTTACAGCCTAAATCTTTAGTCTAGACGCCCAAATCCTGTTTGTTTTTCTGCTTTATTATGTTTTTCTGAAATCTAATTCATTTTTATGAAAGTTCAGGAACATCTTAGTTTTATTTTATTTTGTTCTGAACTTTTGATGCTTAAACTAAAAACCAAGTTAGCAGATAAAAACAGCTTAATTTATTTTCCTACGGTTGTCCTTTAATGATGTCTATATAGCACACAGTCCAAGTGTTTTTCTTAATTAAAATCATATTTTTGAATCAATTTAAGGCTTTTCTAAGCTTTACATCGTGTTATAATGTCATTCCCAAAATCAACTCGAAAACTCAGCTCCTTCAGACTAGCCAGCAGCAATTAGCAAAGGTGGAACTGAGCGTCTGCTGAGCTCATTATAGGAGCTACAGCTCGGTGCAGCACTGGTAAAAACATTCTTAAAGGGTTAACTGAGGAGCCATGTTGTGGTGACTTCCTAAAGGCGGATTTTCAAAAAGAGAAGGAGCTTCTTATAGAGACAGAGGCCCGAATTTAAGGCATTAAATTACAATTTTACTTCAAATTATATGTATGTAACATTTTTGCAACAACTGAAGTTAACAGTTACTCAACTGTACTATAAAATAGTTTTTATGTGGCTGGAAAACGCATAATCCTGCCCTTTATAAGTAGATGAAATGAATGAAACGATTTCCAGTGAAATGACTAGATGAAGGCCTCTCTGATCTCATCCAAATGTAATTTTTATATCACTAAAGGTTATCTGCAAGTCAGTGGAAGAACAGCGTTGTGAATAACTCATACTCTGATCCATCCTTTACTCAGCCTGCGTTTCTTATCTTGACTATCAAGAACATCGTAGGTGATGAAGTCCAGCTCATGTAACGGATCAGCACCTTCCCCATAGACTGCGATCAGGACAGGTTCTCATTTAGTTTTCAAACCGTCTTTCTTTAAAACAAAGAAAGTTGATTTTGTTCCGTAGAGACCTAACGTAGGACGCCGTAGCATGTGGCACGTGGCTGTGTGTTCTTTTACACACACAATGAATCGATGGTCCCCGAGTTTCTCCCGCAGGTCAGAGAAAGAAAGACATCACACTGTCATTGAGCTGGCAAATGAAACTCCTTTGCTTCTCTCCGAGAAACGATTTAACGATTCACTGGACGCACACCCTCGCCCGGCCAGCAAAAGAACAATGGCGAGAAACGCCTTACACACGAATTACAACAAATATATGTTGCTCTTTGAGTCCTAAGCCACTTTCAGTGGGAGTCTGTGTGAGTCTGCATTGTTCATGTGTGCAATAGAAGTCGGATGCATGTTTTTCCACACGACAGAGGTAGAGGGCAGTGTTTGCCTTATCCAAATCATCCTGGCTGCATGAGATGCACTGAACGTCTGTGACCGAATAAAAGTGATTAGCTCCAGTTTCCGAATCGAATGGCTCTTAATGAGAGTCCCATGCAGAAATAAATGACACCCTAAAACAAAACTGACAAAAGCAAACTTTACAATTCCTCAAGTTTGGAGGTAAAGTGAGGCTCTGACAGTCCTCTCCTCGTGGTTTGCATCTCTGCAGTGCTTTGGTGATCCTAAGAGGGATTGTTGGCCATAATTGGTGCTCTAACACTTTTGTCTCCTCTGAAGAGACACATTGAGAGCGTCTTGAGAATAGTCCTGAGTGCATCTGTCTTCTGTTGAGGAGTTAAGAATAGTTTGCTTCTTGAAAGCGGCCTCATTCACCCCTAGAGTCCGGGCCTCCGCCAAACACTCTGCTTCACGTCGAGGACGCTGCTGCTGCAAAGCTTTGATCTAAAGAAACGTGGAAATGGGAAGAAAAAAAAAATCAAGGGACGTGGTTTTTGTTTAACTTTAGTTGCTGTGTCTGTTATTGTTAGATGTGTTTTATTTCCCTTTAAAAATTTGTAGTTTTTGTTTTACTTTTTGGACGTCACCACCTACATATTCTGTGACAATTTTTATATTGAGAAAGATATAAGTACTCTCTTTTAAGGTTACCTTGTAATTAGTGTAAATATCTGAACTGTTTTTCCAGGGATTATACAGAGAGTTGCACTAATCTCCATAATGACTGAAATTTTCCATATTTTGTCATCATTAAGTCAGCAAAGGCCGGTCACAACAACAAATTAGTTCTCGTGACAACTGATTCTGACAGCTGTGATAAATTTCTCTATTACTTTATAGACTTCTTGCCTTGGCTGTCCCTGTATTATTTACTAATAAGTTGACTTGTGAAGGCAGCTGGTTGCTATTTATCTTATTTTATGTTATTACGTTTTATCAGATGGGGAAGAACAATAAATGAAAAATGTTCCATCCACTTTAAGTTGCTTTAGATTCCTTTAAAATACATTTAAATTTGTGGTTTTTACAAGAGGAAATAAAAAAAAAAAAACTTCAGGCTCTGGACAATGAATCAAGAACAACACATATCGCCACAGAGACATAATCAGTATCAACAAATAATAGAATATTCAGTGATTTCACTGAACTCTGATCCAGAACCGCACAGCATTCTGGGAGACGTAGGCAGAGGAAAGAACATCTCACTGTCAGCTGTTCAAGGTGGGTGGCATCAACTAACTCACTCGCTCTTTGGTCACCTAGCAACAACCTGTTGTGTCAAAACTGCTTGAAAATAATTTTCAAAAAACAAAGTTATTGTTTTTGGGATGGGAGAAAATCAGTACAACAGCTCGAGTGAAAGCTATAAATAAACAAAAACGAATCAATAATTATAGATATCCACTCATATGAAAACGTTGCATCGAGATAAGTTTTTCAGCCATTTCCTGACTCGAGGAGTGCGAGATTTGCAGGACGCTGCGCACTGAACGCAGGAAATGACAATCTGGCTTCATTATCAAAACAAACATCCTCCTTTTCCTTCCGATGAGAAAAAAAGTCTTTGCTGATGGCAGCAAAAGTACCGCTGCCTTCCAAGACGCGACCGAGTAGCAAAACCTCCTAATGCTTCAGTTTGACGTTTGAAGCGAGTGACCCGCCAAGGTGCTGCGCGCCGCTCGGCAGCAGACGGGAGGCCGGCCAGGCACCAGACTAAACAACAAACAGACGCCTCTCTTTGGGAGAAGTCAGAGCCTAACTGAACTGTCATCAACGGGGAGGAAACGAACAGAAGTTCGTGTCTTACACGCCCGACGAGGTCGTCGTCTTCCACAGTCAGAGGCACAAATGCAAAGCCGTTTCGAACGAGGGAGCGTTTTCACGGTTGTCGTAATTACACGGCGACGGTCGGCACAATGACGAGACCTATGAGAGAGTGTGTGTGACTGCGTTCTGTGTAATTTATGTATGGGAGATGCGTCTGCTGGAGCCTCTGCGGTGCGGGGCCGTACAATAGGAGGATCCGGCTTTATAGTGGGAACCTCTCTTTGGCCCGGTGCCAACAATCTGGCTGTTGGTTTAGCCATTGATCCCTGGAAGTGGCAGCGGAGGCTTGAGGCCACACTGGTGTTCATATAAATCACAGGATATGGTTGTTTTTACTGTGGTTGACCCCCCCACTGCCATCATCCACCCTCTACACCCCTCCACCCCTCTCTCTATCTCTGCAATCCCTGAAAAAGCTGAGAGGTTTATTACAAAAGGCTGAAAATAGTCTTCTGTCTTCAGATAAAGCCGGCAGGCCACAACACAGATCGACATATTTATGAGTGTGAGTCCCACACTCGCGGTGCTATACATAACGAACTGAATTCTTTTCAGCCAGTCTCCGTTCACGGACCAGCCTCCTACGCAGTCGCAGACAGACAGCCAGGCTGGCACAGGAGCTGCAAATAGCTGTTACAGCTTCTGTTCTTTAATTAGAGGCAGGTTAGTTACAACTGAGATGGCTTCTATTGGGGCGGGTCAGTTGAACTGAAGTCTCCATGCGGTTTTAAAGTAAGACACAATCTGTCATAAGCAACAAAAAGCATGGGTTTTTATTACATTCCCTGAGTTTTGATTGCATTCCAGATTTTAAGAGATAATCAGAAAAGGTTTGGTTGGATCTTTGGCTTAGGAAGCTTTTAACTCAGCATACCATTTGTTACATTTGTCACGTTGCAAATGTTACAATTGCAACATTTGTTACACTGACAGTGCAGTGCTTTCACGCTGCACTGTGTCAAACCAACCAAACCCTTTGGAAACCTGTTCCCCTCCTCGCCTGTGGTGGCGCTGCACCAAGAAAATGACATAGAAACCTCAGAAGAAGACACTGAGTTCAAGTTCTTTCTTCACACACAAAAAAATAGGACATCAGATTTTAGCAGCTGGTAAAAAAAACAAAAAACAACAACAAGCAATTTGTCTCACTCGCTAGACTCACTTGTTTGTTTTGGTTGTTTTTTACCCAGAATGCCCTGCGCAGTAGCCAATCATTCACATATGCATTCGAACCCGCGCCACAGTTCACTTCAATAGAACTGAGGCCAAAGTTTGTTTTTTTCAGTCAACATCAGATTTCAATTGCGCATTCACCAAACGAACCAAACAAACTGGGAATCGTTTCAAGCGGAATAAACAAGACTGGTGTAAATACTCCTTAACAGTGCTTGTCGTAAGTTTTATTCAGTCCCAGCCGAGTCAGTAATTTCTGGAAGCACCTTTCACTAAAATGACAACTTCAAATTTTTTTTGGGATATGTCTCCACCGGCTCTGCACATCTTAAGCCTGACATATTTGCCCATTGTCCTTTGCCAAATCACCGAAGCAAAGAGCGGCGTTAAACAGCAAAATTTCAAGTGCCGACACACCTTCCCAGTTGGATTTAGGTCTGGACTTTGACTGGTCCATTCTATTTATTGCAGCTCTTACAGTGTGCCTCCGCTCCACTCTTGCATGAAACCATATTTC